CCTTAGGAAAAAAGGTCTGTCCCTAATCCCCTTCTGTCTAATTTAGGAATGGGTATAATGGGCTGGGTACATCCTTGCTCATGTTTTCCCAGTCCTCTGCCTGGCAAAAAACCAGTCTTTAGCATCATTTGAGTTATCTTGTCATTAGGGCTCATCATAATGCCCCCCATCTGGGTCATAATGTCTCTTCCCCACAAGTTAACTGGCAACCCTTCAACCACGAAGGGCCTCACTGTCCCCGAGTTTCCTTCCGAGTCTGTCCACTGGAGAAACTTAGAACTTTGTAAGGTATTTTGAATCTGACCTATGCCCTTTAGGTGAGTTACTGTGGGTTCCAGTGGCCAGGATTTAGGCCAATATTTTTTTGCTATGACTGTGGCGTCAGCGCCAGTGTCCAAAAGGCCTAGGAACGGCTCTCCATCTAAGAAAAGTTTAATTGTGGGCCGACTCTCTGTGAGCTGTTGGACCCAGAATATATCTGAAGATCCTGGTTTTGAGGACCCACGGACAGGGTTCTTGTGAGAAAATGTCCCCATGAAGGGTAAGGGGAGGGCCTGTGCAATGCGCTGTCCTGTTGGAACAGTAATGGGACCCTGAGAGGCAGAGGCCAAAACCTTTATTTCTCCCTGATAATCAGAATCAACTATGGTGGGGGTTATGGAAAGTCCCTGTAATGAGCCAGAGGCTCGTCCAAGGATAAGAAAAAACATCCCCGGCGGGGGGGGGGCCCTAATATCCCCGTGTCTATTATGGTCATGCCCTCTTCAGGGGTTATAATTCGGGTGGTGGAGGAACAGAGGTCCAGTCCTGCGCTTCCTGGTGTGGCTCTACATAGGTCTGCGCAGGTTGATTTAAGGCTGTTTGGGGTAGTGGAGTATTTTGACTCTGGCCGTTGTTGAAAGGATTGTTGAAAGTCACTTGAGACGGAGCTTGTAACTGGATAGGGCCCCGAAATGGGGCCCGTGGCCCGTTTCCCTGGACCGCAGGCACAGGCTGGCCATCGATGTCTGTCTTAGAACGACACTCTCGTGCCCAATGCCACCCTTTTTTGCATCTAGGGCAGGGTCCTGGGGGCAGTCCTTTTGGGAATTTTTGGCTAAAATCTAGTGAGCCGGCACATTCCTTGGCGAAATGCCCCAGGCTTCCACATTTAAAGCAACCTCTACCTTTATTACCGGAAGCTTTAGCGGGTGTTTGAAACACGATGCCCATTGCCAGCATGGTCTTAGAGATTTTATAATCAAGGGAATCAACATCACTGCAGAGTTTAATCATGCCATTTAAATCTAAATTTTTAGTTTTACCCCGCAGGGTGGCTTTACAGGCACTGTTAGCATTTTCTATGGCCAATTGTTTTATTAGTATATTATCTGTACCATCATCTCCCAGGATTCTCTCGGCTGCTTCTAGCAGCCTGGCAACAAATTGAGCATAAGGTTCATTGGGACCTTGAAAAATCTTGGACAGAGAGGTTGTGGCCGTCCCGGTAGAGGGCACGGCCCGCCAGGCTGCCAAGGCTGCTTGGGACGTCTGTATAAGGAGTCCCTTTGGAAGTTTTAGTTGTCTTTCCTCCGTAGCAAATTTGCCCCTTCCTGTAATTTTATCAGAGGACCATGCAGCCATTTGAGGACTCTTTTTGTTTAAGACAGCCTGCATCTCAGCCTTATCTATAAACTCAGCCTTCCAGGTTAGAAACTGGCCTCTAGTCAGCACCGATTGAACCACTTTAACCCACTCGTGAGGCAGCAGGTTGCCTCCTTGGCCCAGTCCCTCGAGTACAGAGAGGGTAAAGGGTGCGTTAATGCCATAATTTTTTACTGCTGAATGTAAGTCTTTAAGATGTTTAATCTTTAATTTTTTGTATATGGC